AGACCATGAGAAAAAACCCAATCCCAGTGATACCGGAAAAGTGGCGCCCCAGCCAGCTCAGCCCAGCAGGGCCTGGGGGACCTGCCACTTCTTTCTTGGTGGCAGCAGCCGGCAAAGGAACCAGCAGGCTGGAGCAAGGGGGGAGCTTTCCTCCCCCACCAGAGGCTCCAGTAGAGTGGTGCTAGAAGACCTGCGGATCAGGGGGAAACACTGGTGATTCCTCCAGCTCATCCCTGATTGGTCCATTTTCAATCCTGCTCCTAGAGCTAAGCTCTCAGCTCATTGGACGACTACACCTATATAAGACCCCTGAGCAGAGAGCCTAGCAGCAGATCATCCCCTGAGCAGAGAGCCTAACAGCAGATCATTGCAGATCTTCCAGGAAGATAGAACAGAAGAACAAGACTTCAGCAGACTGTCGCAGACCTCTGAGGAAGAAAGAGTGAGAGCTGTGGCACTTCTATTGTTGATCCTCCTCTGCAAAGAGGCTTGGTTCTTTGTAAGAGCTGTTTTTGTAAGAGCTGTAACACTTGTATCCTGCTCTGCAAGGAGGTTTGGCTCTTTTTAAGAGCTGTAAATAAAACCTCACTAACTGTTCCTCCTATGGTCCATCGATTCATTCATCGAATCGTCGAGACCAAGAGCCTGGAAATCCAGTGTTAAAAATCCGGTATCACCAGGATCACTGACTATTTGAACTACAATGCCCTCCATCACTGTAATCACCAGCACTTAATAAGGCCCAGCTCACCCTGGGAGTATCCCACATCAGCTAGTACTTATTCACTGAGGATAGAAGCTTGCTTAAATAGGGGTCTTGGCCATGAGGATAAGGCAGAGAGCAGACAGCCCCTCTGTTATGATCAGTAGTCATTCCTCATTGTGCAGCTCTGCCTTCCTCTTCCCTTGACTTTGCTTGGTTTGTTCCTCTTCAAATTCTGCTTCCTGAGTAAATAGGACTCAATGACACACACAAAGACTATGTTTAGGCAGCAAATTTGGTGTCACACAGTTGTCAATCACTAATAGTGGTGGAATGCCACAACAGACTGCATTCAAAGCTGACCCAGGTCATCACTTGCACTATGTCTTTGACTCTTTATGTTGAGCCAAACCATCCATATACAACCTTGCCCCAGCTCTGAAGCCAGGCTCATAATAATGGAGCTTCATCACCTCTATCTAACCAACCACCCTTTTGCTTCTAATTTGCTCACATTTGTTTTCATCTGACTAGGCTCCTCATATATGATAATCTTCAAAATCCCTGCCTGACATTTTATAGTTTGGCACCCCATATATGTTTTCAGCATTCCTTTAGCAATCAGTTAAACCATTTATGAGGGCCAGTGTGGTGCTTCTTAGAGTAATTAATAGATTCCCTTTTAAAGAAAAAAATTCTTAAAGCCTATAAGAATATGTCTATATAGATTTTATTTTAAGAAATACTGAATTAAGTCTCCCTAATTGAACTGAAAATAGTAACTAAAATCTTAATGAGCAGTTATGGGATTACCTAAATTTCTGAAGAGAATGCCATTTTGACATGGATGGAACTGGAAAATGTTCTTCTTAGCAAAGTATCACAAGAATGGAAGAAAAAGCATCCAATGTACATAGCCCTATTATGAAACTAATTTATAGCTCTCAAATGAAAGCTACAACCTAATTTTAGCCCAAGAATATGGGGAGAGGTAGGGGAGGAGAGGGGAGAAGGGCAGATGGGTGGAGGGAGGGTGATTGGAAAGATCACCTCTATGGTCTGTCTTATAAGGGTATAAGTGAATCTTTCTAAAACTAGAGTATGTCTTAACACAAGTAAATGACATAAAGTCTATGTTAACCAGTTTGATGAAAATATTTTAAATTATATATGAAAACACTACACTGTACCCCATGTTTGCATTAATGTACACAGCTATCATTTAATTAAAAAAAAAAGCCATTTTGATGGTTGCAGTGGCTCATGCCTGTAATCTCAGCAGTCTGGGAGGCCAAGGGGGAGGATAACTTGAGGCCAGGAGTCTGAGACCAGCCTGAACAACACAGTAAGGTCCCATTGCTACAAAAAATTTAAAAAATTAGATGGCCATGGTTGTGTACCTGTAAGTTCTAGCCACTTGGGAGGTTGAGAAAGGAGGATCACTTGAACCCAGGAATTTAAGGTTCTAGTGAGCTATGATCAGGCTGCTATACTTGAGCCTGGGTGACAGAGCAAGACTCTATCTTGAAAAAAAGAAATGTGATTTATTAAGTTATTATTAATATTTATCAATCAGAATGCAATTTATTTTATTATTATTTTTTCTGAGACAGAGCCTCAAGCTGTCACCCTGGGTAGAGTGCCATAGCATCACAGCTCACAGCAACCTCCAACTCCTGGGTTTAAGCGATTCTCTTGCCTCAGCCTCCCAAGTAGCTGGGACTACAGGAGGCCACCACAACACCTGG